TGTCTTCAGTTCTGCTAAACTTCTGAAGGTTCATTTGTACTGTCTTCCCCCAAGAAGTGCAAAAGCAAACTGCCCATTCCTTTTTCTTTAGTGCTCCTGTTTGCCAAATATTCCCAGGAAAAGCAAAATATAGAAAGCAACAGAGAACTATGGAGGTTTGTTAAAAGCAGGCAGCAGCTGCAATAGCTTCTGGATCGTGACAGAAGCCACAGACAGCATTTAGATTGCTAGCTCTTTCCTGACATAAAAACACTCGGATACAAACAAGGATCACTCTCTACTAAAGAATCCACCTCATGTAAATTTTACTGCTAAAAAATTTGGTGCTTAACCCAAGCAAGTCATTTAGGGCCTCTGTCATCAACAGAAAGAGACCAGCACTTCTAGGCTCACCTATCCCAACTTTCAAATAAGCATTTCAGGTGGAGTTGGGCCACCTCCCAGTGCCACATGCCTCTTGCAGAGGGAGGCCAGGTGACAGCTAAAATCAGGTAAAACGTATTCCACCCTTAAGAGCCCATTTCTTCCAATGCTGTAGCTGGAAAACATCCTGAGGGTGAGTTTAATTACAGAAAGATTAATTATGCAAAAAAAAATTAAGTACAAGATTTTAAGTGGTTGATTGGATTGTAGGCCTAAATCTCTAAACACCAGCATTTTAATTAGCAGCTGAGTAGTAAAATATCATTAGGCTTTGTTGTCCTTTTGGAGGCATGTGCTGGGATGGCTATTGGACAGCACTTACCTGTCCCCTCGCCACAGTTTTCAAATCCAAGAGGGGCCTGTTTGGAAAGCTTTGGGGTCCTGAAGTGCTCAGCTCTCAACTGAACATCAGCAGAGCTGGGTGTCTGTGATTTTGAAAGGCTCCCACCTGTGGTGCTTTCTTCAGCTGAGATGGTGTTGAGGTGTCCACAGAGCCCCTGGGCTGAGCACCTCCTAAACCCAGAGCACGCAGTGGTGATCTGCCCCAGCTCCAGCAGGATCTTGGCTTTGCTAGGAACTGAGTGCTCTTTGGGGACAAATTCCAGTAACAACACCAGAAGACTTGCCTCCAAGGTACAAGAGTAGCTCTAAGCCAGCAAATAATATTGCAGGATGTGCTGGTTTTGCATTTGTTTCTGCCCATAGAGCATTTCTTGGTTTTTATCAGCCCTTATGAAAACGTACATTCTATCAGGAAGAAAATGAAATTATTACATGGACGCTATATGCCCCTGGAAAAAAAAATTCAACTCTGTGATACAACAGTCTGGCAGCAAAATGCTCTCAGACTTATGATAATGCATTAGTTATTTTGAAAACTGAAAGTCATTTCAGACAGCCTAGTATGGGCTAGAAACCCTGAATATTACCAGTATCGATCATTAGCACACATTGGAAATGAATGCATGAAATTCAGGACTAAGCAGGGCCCCCTTTGCAGTGTAAAATCTAAAGCTCCACGCTATCTGGGCCAGATTTATAAGAGAAAGTAGACCCTTAATGAACCTAATCCTATTAACAGAGTTGTCAACTTAGATTTGTCATCAGAAAGATGTTTTTAGCCATGAGACATTTGATCTGTGGGCAACTTTTTCATCTTCGGAGTATTCAACGCGTGACATTCATAACAAACCACATTTTTAAAAAAATTACAGAAATACAGAAATTAATATTTTTATTTAAAACCCAAGCGAGCAAACAAACAAACAAACCCACCAAACTCTCTTGTGCACTTACTGCCTTTTTCCTGCACTGGGATCCCACACAGAGCCACGAGCAGCTGGTGAGCTGTGGATAAACGCAGTCCCAACGATGGCAGGAGGCAGCAGTCCCCTCACACCATCTCTGCTCCAGATTGTCCCTGGGTGGGGATGGCACAAGAGAGTGTTTGTGAGGGAGAAGGCTGCTGGTTCCACCTGTGGCTTCCTGGACCTACTTGTCTCATTTCCTCGTACATGCAATGTTACAAAATAAAGTCGGTATTGTTGAACTGACATTTGGTCTCATTTGCACCTTAATTTGGACAGAGGACTTGAAAACCAAATAGTAATAAAGCAGCTATTTAGACTGTTTCCCCCTCACACCTACCTGTGTATCATGTATATGTGAAGAACTCTGCATCTCTAACAAAACAAAATCTGAGACTAACTACATCAGATGCATAACCAGGGTCAAAAAATATTACCATGCAGTAGGACTCTATCGCCTATGCTGTTGAACTGTCAGAATAATGTCTGACCCAGTTTTGGCCTGGGCACTCTCCCAAGCAGTTCCCAGGGCCAGTTTGGGAGTTAGGACAGGCATTCCCACTCGGCAGTTAGATGGGACCACCCTGTTTGGGAGGGTGAGAGAGTTCAATAGCATCTCAGGGGGTTTTCCAGTCCAGCTGGCCTTGGGGCAAGACACCAGTGCCAGGCACATTTAATTTCCTATAACAGATATTGCACCTCTGTTCTCAAAGATCCTATAAGGGTGGCTGAACACCTGCAGAGACCTGGAGCCTGTGAAGATTAAAGGCACCAGCAGAGACACCATCCAGTCCAGAGCAGTTTGCTGGGACCCCCAGGGCTTGTCTGGATGGGCTCATGGCCCCAGCTCTCTGCCCAGGAGCTCTCCCTGTTCTGGGTGCTCTCTGTGTATTCTGATGCAGGGCAGTGTCTCTATCCCTGTCAGAGCCATGTCTGGCCTTGGGAAAATCCCTCCTTATGAGAAAGCAAGCTTTAACTTTTTTTCATAAGACTTGAAAAAACCCCCCAAAGATAAAATCAGAAACTTAATCCTACGTGTCCATTTCAAATCAAAGGAAACAATAATCAAATCTGTCCAATTTTAGAAGAAAGACCATACATGTATTAATGTGCTTCTTTGCTTCTTGTTGAGTAACCCCACTCTGCTGAGGCTCATTCTAGGACTGCTCAAGGACAAGCTCAGTGCCAAGTGGGTAGAGGCAGGTGACTTGGGCAGAACTGTACTGCTTTAGACCATATCTGAGTATGTTCTTCTTTGGTCAGGGAACACCTTGAACCTCCAAGCTGCTGTGCATCACGTCTCAGACTTAAGTAGGACAGTGGGCTTTGGTGCAAAAACATGCCAGACAACTGTTCACATTGCCAAAGATGTGAAATCACTACAGTAATGTGCAGTGATGATGTCTTAAATTATAAATAGTTCTAAAGAAAAGAACATGTGTGATTGTCTGCTTAGGGGCACTTCTCAGTAATTAGAACTGTATCTTTTTCTATCATCCTCTACTGCTACTTGGGAGGATTTCCAAAGGGCTAACTCTTCTCATAGTCAGCACTTGCTGATTAAAAGCTTAACACATTTTTTCCTGCTACACAATCAATAAAGGAAAACTCTGCTGATTGGGATATTGTTTCTTGCTCCCACAGATCTGACAGCAGCAACCCTCATCCAAAGGGATGAAGAGATGGCCTCACCCATTTTAGCCACATAGGAGTAACAGTCCTGATAGAGCTCCCCATAATTTCATAGGAGATATGGGGAGAAATCAGGTTACAGGGAAGTACAGTTATTGCAAACATAAAGCTGGACAAACACATAACAGTAAATAGTGTCTGTGCAGTCGATCACCCCGTCTGCTTGTCCTGGCTAAGGCCTGAACTGACACATTGCTCATGTACATCCTTCCATTCATTCTTGCACTCATTCATGCAAACCCCAGACCCCTCACTCTCAAAAACACCTCCTGCTGATAGCATTGCTGCTTATTCATATCAGGCCTTTGCTGCTGTCATGCTTCATTTTGGAGATGTAATGAGGCATTAATGCTTATCTTTGATGTGTGAACTGTGTCAAAATATCCTGTTCTTCTGAGCACTGGATCCATCAGAATCCACCACAAAATGTGAACAAAATCACCATTGTTTGAAAAATTGCCATAGCCCCACTGATGGAGCGTTTCAGGGGGCAGGCAGGAAGCAAGTGTGTGTAGTGCTTGCTGCATCTCAGCCCTTTTAATTGCTTAACCAGTTCCTTCTCCTGTCTCCTTTTGCTTTCTCAGACTCACACCCAACCTCCATCCTCTCTTTTGTTGTCCAAGTCCTCCTATTACCCCACTTACCAGCACTGCAACACTGTGCTTTGATTATGTGCCAGGCAGCCCCTGCCCTTCATCACAACTCAGAGAGGCCAACCAAAGACCTAGACAGAGTTTAGACATGGTTTGGGAAGATGAGGACCCTTTTACCTTTAATTCCCTTTAATTCTTTCCTAAGTTTCATGCATCTTTCCTCTGGAAGGCTTCAGTTTAGTGCTGATATCTAAAACTCCCCACCAACCCCAGGGAAATGGTAGCCCCCCAGTTTTTCTAGAGCCATTGCTTGGCTGACCAGAAGCTGCCAGGCCCAGCACAGCAGCTGCCAGGCTCGGCAGTTACTGCAGCAGGATTTGGGTGGACACAAAGAAGTTGGAATGGAATTCCTGCAGGATCAGCAGGTTACCATGGCCAACGCATATGTCAAAGATTTCTAAAATGGCAAGTGACACTGAGGGCTTCAGTTTTGACTGTGCTGAAGCCCTTCAAAAAAATACAGTAGACATTGTCTGAAAAATCTTAGGACTTGCCTGGAGGCTGATTGAGCCCCTGAATTCACAAGTTGCACCCAAAAACTTTGACTGAAAAATCTGTGCTATCTATTTTGGTTCTCCCTAAAAAAACAAACAAATGAACAAAAAAGAGACTCATCCATAGATCCTGGGAGAGCAGAAATACTCTCATGTGCTGTTTTTATTTTCTGCTTTTTGTATCAGAGTGAACTGGATGAGAATCAAATACAGATGGCTGGAGATGATGTGGGTTTGCCAGAAGACCTGCAGAAGATGGTGGCACAAGATCAGGAGGAGGAAGAGGACAAGGACTCCATCCTGGGACAGCTGCAGAACATCCAGAACATGGACATGGATCAGATCAAAGAAAAGGCACAAGCCACCTTTACTGAAATGAAGCAGGCGGCCGAGCAGAAATGTTCTGTCATGTAGAGGAGCCACCACCACCCAAGGGCTGTGACTTCAGTCTTGTCTCACCAGGACTGCAGAGTGAGGGCAGGCAGAGGGATGCACATAGCTCTAGAGCATAAATATAGAAAAGAGACGAGAGAGAGACTTAAAACCCTGAGGGGAGGGGGAAAATTTATACGTTGTGACTGCCTAGGACAAAGTTAGAAGTGATCCTAATTTTTAACATAACATTTTTCCCCATGGAAAAAATGGCTCAAAAGAAGTTAATATTGGGGAAAAAATGTGCCTTTTTCCATGCTATTAAATGTGTATTTTTTAGCAAAATTGTAATTCTGATACATCACATACAGGTAATCACTCACTTAAATAGTGCTTTCAGAAATAAATGCATATATTTCTTATAATAACATGTCTGTTTCAAACATTTTGAAACAAACACAGTATTCAAATGCTGACATTTGCTGCAAAAACTTGAAAGATTTTTTTTTTTTTTTACCATCTCTGCACTAAATGTAGCAAAATGCAAAAAGTGAAGCATGTAACTCAATAGCTTGGGACAAAAGTGTTGTCACACGTAACACTGAGTGGGGACTTGCAGGAATCCAAGGCTTGGGAGCTGTCAGTGAGCCCTGCTCTGTAGCAGTGCAGGCTCCTCCAGCCTGCTTTCATTTCCCAGTCCCTCAGTCTTCCAAGGCAGTTTAAACGTCGAGGGACAGCAGTGACTCTGCTTGGCTGCTCCATGTGCCAAATTCTGGGGCCTGAGGTACCAGCACCAAACTTGCACAGGTTCAAACGAGTTCACCACGTTGATTCTGGGAATCACCTCCATCGAAGGCTGAACATAAGTCCAGCCCACGGTAGGGCACCTAAACCCTGAGGAAAAGCTTGGCTTTCAGTTGTGCTAAATCTGACTGAGGCTGTTGGACTGGCAGGACACTGCTCCTGAGGGGCTCGGGTGTTCTGTAAAAGGAAGGACTTTGTAACCTCTCCAAGAGCTAGCCTGTGAAATAAATTTGGAAATGAATATATGTAGCACCTTCCTACAGGTTTATAAGTCTCTTTCTGTCTCTCTCTGTCTCCACCTAACCAAGTAAAAATATTCATTTTAAATTAACAAATGCAGTAAGTATGGTTTGTGTCCTTCCTTTCTCTTTCCCTTCCTTCCTTCCTTCCTTCCTTCCTTCCTTCCTTCCTTCCTTCCTTCCGTCTTTCACTCCCTTTTCTCTTTGTCTTTTCTCTCTTTCCTTTTACCCCTTTGTCCACACTTGGGCAGGAGGAAAAATTCTCCCTTTTGGCCAAGTCACCTCTGCAGTGAGGCAGAGAGGAGGGTGAGGGAGAGAGGTTCACCTCCTGCTCCAGCAGGTGCTGGGTGCCAGGATGGCCCGGGAGTGCCACTGTACCACCTTCTGCTGCAGCACTGGCACAGACAGTATGACATGGGAAAAGGCCGGAGAAAATCAGCTACTTTTAAAAAGCTCATTATCATCGATGGTTACAATGGTATCCACCTCCATGTCTGCAAAAGGACAGAGAGGGCACTGGGCAGCTTTATGTGTTCATCATATATGGACTGTGTTTTATTAATCTAGGCAAATATATTTCTTTGTATGTCTTTTACCTATTTTCTACTAGAATCCTTTCTAGTATTTCAAGCTGATCATCATTTTTTTCCCCTGATGTTACCGGTGAGCACACAGGCACTTTCTAAAAACACTCCTCCCAAACATATGTTGAACTGTTCTTGGTTGGTAGTTCCTGGTTTCCCTGAACGCAGCCAGTTTGCTAACACTAAAAGGAGGATGAGATTCCCTCCTACAAACAGAGTAAGATATAAACCGAACTGGTGCCTCTGCTTCGCTTGCCAGTGAGTGAATTTCTCTCATGTGACCGTGTGAGGCCACTTCTGCCACCTTCCCCGTCCGGCAGCTCCTTGGCCGGATGCCTCATCCCGCAGCTGCACAGAGCCTCAGCCCCGCTGGCCGCAGAGCCCCGGTCCGTGCCCGCACAGCCCCGGGCTCGGCCCCGCCGCTGCGTCCCGCACAGCCC